ACATACATACATACATACATACATACATACATACATACATACATACATACATACAAACATACATACATATGCACATACGCACACACATACACTCACACATACACAAACACACACTCACACAAGCATGTTTGTTTGGGTGATTGCCCAACTCCTATTAGACTATTCCTTCTGTGGCCTCGGGGAAAGGGGAAACTGCACTAGAGGCAAAAAGAGAAAAATCAGACTTCACTTTGATTCGAAGTTCCTTGCACAGTATGACGTATTAAACTTTCATCAAGCTCTCAAAATCGAGTAGACGTGTTACTTTTTACTCGACCGTGTCATTTTAAGTGTGTTGGACATTTTTATCCACGTAATTTTGAAGCAGCAGTTATGATGTGGTATCAATCAATGCACGAAGTGAAAAGTTTCACCCTCTTTCTAGTTTAGTTAAAGCGCTTGGGCTTTGTTTTACGGCGCTATAGACACAGAAATGACAGTTACGGCACCAGCAAGGACCTTTTTGGATATAATCTTTTACTAGTATTTGTTTCTGGCGTCTTTTATTTCATTATTGTGGGTGCTTTATATAAAAGAACAATTTAAAAAAATTGGGCCTCACTGCACGACCGTGCTCTATGGACGAACTGTGCCTGTTTGTCACAGGCCCAGTTTGTCACAATGTCATTTAAGTATTTGAGTATTGAAGACAGTCATAATTACAGCAGTTTTACACTGTAGTCGTAACTGAAGTTTTTTTTTATTCTCCCCCTTCAAATTGGTTTTGTAAAGATAGTGTCCTCTTAAATATCAAATTCAGCATGTGTTGTTCAATATTTCTTCTTTCTTGTATTCAAATCAAAGCAAATTACTCTGTAAAATTTCAACAATGGATGTTCTTTCGGTAAAAACAGTTGAAAAATAAAATTCAATTCATACTATCAATCAATCATTCATTTACTCTTTTTGAGAGTGTTAGTGATAGCTTCCATCAAGCAGGGCACAGTCGAGGCGGGGTGGCGGGCCTGTGACAAACTGGCATGCTTCCCGACGCCTGTAATCTTCGTATATCTTTGTGGCTTCAATTTTGATTTGTTTTCATTTTGTAAATTCAGTAACAGTAGCAGTCAATTTTGACAATCCATTTTAATAGTATATCAAACAGTTTTAAAAACTTTGCAAACAAGCTTTGCCCTTTCCTGCTGTAATTACACGTGTAGATTTTTTGCCTCAAATATTGATTGATATAAAAAAGAGCGACAGGAACATTTAAAATTGAAAATTTTATTGTATTCACAGCACATGGCAAGTATCTGTCCGAGTATCAATAGACATGAAATTAAACAATCCTGCTGTGGGATGTTCTTTAGAAGTCTAGAAACACTACAATCAGCACAGAAGTAGATTACATTTGATAAACAAAACAAAACAACAAGGGTGGGGGCGCAGGTCTGTATTGTCTTCGGAATGATCCAACATCTCAAGGTCTACGAAAAACTATTTTTCCAGGGATGGATATTATAATTATTTTAAAGATAGTACACTGACAAGCTAAACACTGGCGATAGGTTGACCATAATGTGGGTGGGGATAAGAAATGAATTTAAAGTAATATTTCGTTGGTTCAGAAGAAATTTCATATTTGTGGTGAGTGTATTTTCTTGTCACAAACACATTTGCACATACAACAGTAACTAGAGAGAGCAATTAACGAGCTCCCCGTGAGCGTTATTTAGTTACTGGGTCTCTGGGAAAAGTGTGTCATGAACTTTCACCCCATTGTCAGGACTTGCGGAGCCCTCTCTGACAGATTTTCGCGACCTCTCGTTTGTTTCTTTTACATAAAAAAAAGAGTGTCACTGTGAAAGGAACGTAGAAATGGGCTCATTCCTTTCTGAGCCCTAGAGATATTTGATTCGCTGCTAGGTCACTATCGTTGTAAACGATGACAACAGTGCTTGGATAAAAGAGCAAGTGCGTGTGCTCACAGCATGCATCTATGCTTAGAAGTAGAACATTCTGAAGTAGTCTTACCGGTTTCAACTGATATTTAATTTATTAAGGAACATTCATATTGGTAGGGATAGAGTTGGGGTGGGCTCAAACCCTTTAGCCCTTCACTACGCCCCGCCCCTGAAGTTGAAGGGTAGGCGGAGGAATGTTCGATACCTACATCTGATACTGTGAAGCACATCTTCGAGGGTTGATTTATCAGTTAATTAAACCTTGTGAAAAGACATCGGGATTTACGAGTTGTATTGTTCTATATAAAGCGACGTTTGAAAATTGATGAGGTAGTCGGCTCCCAACTGGCTGCACACAATGATGTATTGGGTACTGTTCAGCGCTTTGCTAGCGGTAAGGATACATCTATTTAATGGCCGTAGAGGAAACACCTCACCTAGTTCTTTTCACTATACGTTTTGTGCTGACACTGTGGTTGTGGCTATTAATATAGCTTATATATAACAGAATTCCGTTAAACGCTCTAAGTATAACAAGCAGACCCCCCCCCAAAAAACAAACAAACAAACAACACCTTCATAACGATTTGTCTGCCTTATCATTTAGGTTTCAGTAATTGAATCAAGTTGTAGGTATATATTTTAAAAATTGCTATACCTATTTATAAAAGCCAAGTGTAGACCCCCATCGAAAATAAATAAATAAATAAGTAAATCAATCAATCAATCAATCAATCAATCAATAAACAAATGAATAAATGAATGAACGAATGAATGAATGAATGAATGAAATAAGTTTAAATGAAATAATAATTACAAGTAAACTAAAGTAATGTGAACATTTATGCTTATCGTCATGCGATAATCAGGAAAGTGCCAAGAAAGTAATCGACAGCTAAATGTCCAGCTTCTTGGCCAACATATTAAGACATCCGGGTCTTTTCCCCCATCCATCAAAATAGTCCTACCCATTTTTTGCAGTCTGCGTGTTATGCCTTTTGACAAAGTTTTACGATTCGACAAACGGAATGTGACGACTCTCGAAATCAAATAGTGTGTATACGCACAGTGCACATATATGTCTTTTTTCCAATCCAAGCCTGAATATGCATGAAATGGACAAAGGCAGAGATAGGTCATGTCAGATTTCTCTTACCGTCACGATTGTGAACCGACCATTGAAAATCAAACGTTTTTGTTTTTCTCTGCCACAGGCTGGCAGACTTATGTAGTAATTGCCAATCACAATGCCACTAAAAGACAAAAGGAGGTCCGAATTTTCAGCGCACAAGACACTGACAAAGTAGTAGTATAAACTTATCGGTTTCTAACGTGCCCTCTGGCACGACAACCTAGAGCAGAGGGTTTAGAGCATCATGTTGTACTACTTTCGACCGGCACTACAGTCGCGACTCTTTGATGACAGCTGGCTGTGACATCTTTAGAACAAACCTACTATAACATTTTTTTAAAATACAAAAATCAATTCTACTTTACTGATCCCACCAGCAGACTTGTTTCACAAAAAATGTCCATAAACACACAATTAATACTGTAATACATACATGCATAATAATGCACGATATGAAACAGCAGCTAAAGAAACGTGACTTTGCTCCCAATTCGGACACTTTGCAACTCGGTGTAACAAGCAGAGGCAACCCATAAACCCGTATTGGAACCCACTGTGCAGCCTGAGGACCCCGTAATAGCGGGCGATTATACCTCTATTGTTCACCAAACAGTGGATTTTATAAAATTGAAATAGCGAGCAGCTCCTGAACAGTGACACGATTATTTTCTTTTTAGTGTAACCGATTTCACTATTCATATTTCTCCTCTGTGTCTTACGTAAAATCCTTCAAATCTCCAGTTGCTTTCCTCCTCACTGCTTCTCTTCCTGCTCTATGGTTATGTTCACTTGGTTCACGAGAAAGAATAATTGCTTGGTGGTGATCAGTTGATAGAACTACTGTGCAGCATCGTCAAATTGTAATATGATAGGAGTCTTTTCCAAATCGATAGCCGTCTACCACGACACAAGTCTTTCCCCTTCCTTGTTACAAACTAGGCTCAGAACAAAGAGTAAATCGAAATAATAAGGCACGACCTCAACAGTGATTTAAAGTCACCCCCAGTGTGCTGTTGCTCATTATTATTGATCTTTATATTTTTCAATGTCTTAACTGGTATGAGGAGTGGTGTTCAGGATACTATTTTTCGTTTTCATTTGTTCAAGTCAGACTCTTTTTTTTCTGGCACGTCTTTGTGACAACAGCAAAGTAAGAAAAATGTATAATTTTGCTTCACGACAGATATTCCTACACATGCTTACAAAAACGTTACAAAATTCTAGACATGTAAGAGTTCTGTGTAAATGTCAGACCGAAGTTCGATACTTCATAATGAAAATATATATTCTGTTTTCTGGCAGCGATTCTGAACCACCATTAATTTTGTCAAATTTGAAAGTTAAGTGGTTCCGAAGTTTTAGGCGGCCAAAGTAACGCACTATATATATTTTTTGGGGTATATAGTTATGTATATAT